CAATCAAATCTAATAGCTGTGTTTTTATACAGAGTAAAAGCAGGAGTTATAAACTCCAAGTATTACAAGGACTGGCAAGTAATTGTGTGAATCAAACCTAGCATAAGATCCAGGGAAAAGCTGGGCTCATGGACAAATAGGAGAATATATGCTGTACCTAAATGCATTCAAATTCAAAAGTTTTGAGAACATTGGCTGGTCAAACAAAACATTTCTGCAGGCTCAACTGGCCCACAGGCCACAGATTTGGCGTCCCTTGTCCAAAGACATTTACAGGAAAAAACTTTGACAAAATTAATGGTGGTGGGATGGGGGGAGATATGTGATTCTAGAGATTTCAATACTGTAATTTCTCTGTTTCTTAAAATAGATGAGCATCTTTTTCTCTGATTGATGACTGATACATGTAAAATGATGAAATCATTTTGGCTAAAGGACTACCTAAAAATAGGAAATATATTCTATTAATAGGCAATGGTTGTGTTTACTCTCTTAGAGCCAGGTTTGTGTCTGGCAATTTTTTTAGTCCTTCTTATTTGTATTGCTGTATTATTTAACATGTGACCAAGGGTGACATTTGGGATATAGAATATGACTTTTTGAAGATTAATGCACCAATCTAGCCCTATATAGGCCCTTCCATCACATTAATTCAAATGTATGATTTTTAATGTGGCTCATGTTTTGAATATTATTAAGGTGAACCTTTAAGATGGTACTGGAAAGTGTGTTATTGCAGATGTATTTTTTTTCTGTGGAATGTCCAAGGATAAATACGTAAGTAGATTCCTAAATAGGTACAAGTTGCTTCAAATCCACTCAGGTAGGAAAGCAATCAAAGGCTGGCAAGTACACTGAAGTGGCCTATAGGCTTTTGCAGTAGAATCACTGAAGAATATTAGTAATGTAATAAGACAGAATTTTGATTAAAACAGCTAATTAAATAAACAAAATAATTTGGAGGAAACTGCTGGTTTCATTTCTTGATGCCCAAGAAATTAACCATTCTACCTTTGTGAAAGACAACAAATAAGAAACCAAGCAGATAAGATTTTTTTAAATGACCAAGCTTTGTGACACATATGAGATGGATTTCAAATGTCTGCAGATTTTATACATATTGAATAATACAAAATAGATTACAGTTGAAAATGTTATATATTTTATCCTAACTCCTTGATAATTAGTCACCTACCTTTGGGAACTAAATCAACTCCTAGTTATAAAGAGTTATCATCAATCAGAACATCTTGGTTCTTTTTTTTTTTTTTTTTT